TCTCCCACTCCATACGGTTATGGGTTGGCTCCTCAAAGGCTGGAACAGTTGTGGTTTTTTTTCCCTGTATCTCCTCATAATGCCTAGTGAAAGATTTTATACACAATGGGTACTCAATAAATATTCAAATAAGAAAAAGTGAAAACTGATAGGGGGAAGGCATTTGGAAAATTAGCATCCTCTGGGGAATAACAGGAAGCCCCCCCATAGACATAGATGTCTTTCATCTTGACCTAGGGAAGTTCTGAGACTTGCTTAGCTGCACAGACGTGGCCAACAGTTTGCTTTCCTGGGCTGGAGACGTTGGCGGTCCTTGGTCCCTAACTCCTTAGGAGACAGAAATTCTGCTGGCTGCTTCTGTCCTGGATCCATTTACATTAATTGCATGCAGGGTTCCTGGATCAAGGACCAGGCCTCAAATCAAGTAAAAACTCTGTTGTTTTAAAAGACTGCAAGGGTATTAAGAACTTCATGATAATGGAACATTGAAAACCAGATTTAGGGAAAAGAGAAATATTGGTGTCATCTTTCAGCTGCCCCATCTTTGTGTATGTTAGTGAAAGCACTGTTTTTAGCTCTATTAGCTGTGTACAAGAGGGGACTTCCAGATAAGAAGGTACTAAGGGGACAATCAATTGTTTTTGCTGAACAACAACAACAACAACAACAACAATGATGATGATGATGATAATGATAATAAGAACAATAAAAGCTAGTAATTGCATTGCATTTTAAGGCCTGCCAAGTACTTTACAAATATTCTCGTGTTTTGTCCTTATAACAACCCTGAGAGGTAAGTGCCATTTTACAGAGGAGGCAACTGAGGCAGATAGTGACTTTTCCAGGTGCACACAACTAGTAAATGTCTGAGGCAAGATTTGAACTCAGGCACGCTTGACTTTAGGTCTGGTACTCTATTCTACCTTGCCATTATAATTTCACATATACTTATTTCTCTGTGTGTGTGTGTGTGTGTATGTATGTATGTATGTATGTATACATGTATGTATGCATACACACAGACACATATAATTACTGAAAGTCCCACTTAATCTCTCTATTGGGCATTCTTCCTTTGGGCTGTGGTTATTGAGAGAATTCTTTCATATATTAATAATCAGTTATTGAATTACATTGAATTGTTGATGGATGAGATTGCCCAAATCCCAGAGGTCCATGCATTTTGATCCTGGGTAGGAGACCCCACCCAACTAGAGAAACTTACAAAGAATTTAATCTAAGGTGATGGCCCACTGTGTTCTATTCAGTCAGATCTGAGAGAGGTCGATCCTTTATCTAGATTGCCAAAAGGCTGGAGGTAGTCTGGGAGTAAGAGTGATCAAAGTTATGCTCCCAGCCCCTCATCAGAATGGGTCCATCTCTTATTATAATAATCATTCTAATCATTCATTGTTAACCAATCAGAGTTGATTGCCACCCTCAGAAACAGTATGGAGTGGGTTCCATGAGGGTCTTTGAAATTCCAGAGTGTCACTGACCCCTCTTATTAATTATCTGCTGGCATGATTAATAAAATGATTATTACCCCAAAACTATGTCTCTCCAAACTTTTATATGTCACATTATCTTTCTGAACTATGTGCAGAAAGATTGTCTATCTTGTGCCAATGCAACCGTGCTTTGCCCCAGTAAGGGACTAGCCAACAAACTAAAGAAATGCCAGCTAGAAAGGACTTTAGAGTTATAATAATAATAATACCAGCTCACATTTAAGTAATGCTTAGTAGGTGCTTCATAAAAGTTTATTGATTGATTGCAAAACATGTTCCACGGGGCAGCTAGGTGGCACAGTGGACAGACCACAGGGCTTGGAATCAAGAAGACTCATCTTGAGCTCATATCTGGCCCCAGATATTACTAGCTGTGTGACCCTGGGCAAGTCACTTCACCCTGTTTGCCTCAGTTTCCTCATTTGTAAAAATGAGCTGGAGAAGGAAATGGCAAACCACTCCATTATCTTTGCCAAGAAAACCCCAAATGGGGTCATGGACAGTCAGAGATGACACAGTAACAACAAAAAAGCATTTTCCAGGTAGGATCTCATTTACCATTTTTATCTCATTTGAGTCTCACAACAACCCTAGGAAATAGGCAGTGTGAGTCTTATTCTCCTCATTTTACAGATGAGGAAAGTCAAGTGATTTGTTTAATGTCACATAGCTAATAAGTGATAGAGCCAGTCATCATGGGCTTCAATTTTCTCATCTGTAAAATGACAGGGGTTGGGCTACATGGTCTTTAAAGTTCTTCCCAAACTACATCTATAATCCTATAAAATAAGGTAAATTTTCATTTTTCATAGGCATGATTAAATCTAAGAGTATGCATCACTCTACACCCTCATTACTATGCTAAATCAAGGATAACTGCATTCATAGTTCTATAAATATGGAGTTAACAATACGTCTTCATGTTTCTGAATTAAGTGATTTTGTAGATCTACTGAAGTTCACCTTATTGACTCCCTCAAGTACAGAATTAAGCTCATGAAAATGATTACTTCTCTTTCCCATACACAAAGACAGAAAGCAGGCTGAGAGATGGATCAAATATTACTTTCTCCCCCCTAGGGCTGCTTTCAGTTATCTAGAAGTTCTTAATATTTGAAAATAATATAATTTCATTCTATGGATTGATGTTTGCTCTCTATCTTCAGAAAGAACACTGTATCATAGCGTATAGGCCTGAACTCTCGATCACTCTGTTGAAAGCTGCCTCTCCATTACTGTAACCAAGGTCCCACTGCCCTGCTGGGCACTTCTGCTTAGGCAGAGTAATATTTTGAAATTGGGAACAAAGATCGCTATTGTTACACAAAATAAAACTGCAAATGGCCACGCAGAGACCTAAGAAGTTTGGGGGTGGTTTCTTCTTCTTTTTTTTTCTTTTAAAGAGGAAGTTAAAAATCTATTTGATGCTAAACTTCTTTCAGGGCCTACTTAGTGGCAGTCTCAGAGCATATAAATTGAGATTCTCTACAGCACAATAGTACTGGCTTGTTCCAACAGATATTCAGTGGATGGGCAGGCTAGCCAACAGCCTATGAAGTCCAACAGCCAACAGGTTGCATCTAAAATGTAAGGTTCTGCCTTACTATACTGTAAGTGCTTTGAAGGCAGGGATGGGACTTCTTTTTGTAGCCCTAATTGGATTCTGATTTTAGTGTATCCTTGTTATGAGCCCATGAAGAGTACAGGTGTTTTGCTCTTTAGGGCTTGGGGTTAATGTCCATTTCCAATTAGTAGCTCATTCCATCATTTCTATTTTTTGAACTATTTCTCACCTCTCTCTATTCCTGTGGTCATAGGTCGCTGTGAAGTGACTTTCCATGGTCACAAGTGGTCCTTCCACTTCTCCTCTCATTCTCTTCTTAATTCTCCACAATCTTTTTTCCAACCTCATCATTAACCAACAAAGACCCAGATCTTCCATCACTTCTCATTTGGATTAGCATGAAAGTCAGCCAACTGGTCTACCTACCTCCAGTTCCTCCTTCAAATCCAGATAGACATTGTTTCTAGAGTAGTCACATTTTTAGGAAGATCCAAGCCCTGCTCAGGACTATGCAAAAATCTTAAAGTATCTCATTTCCTACCTAATTAAATCTCTATATTCCTTTACCTGTTATCCAAAGTCCTACATGTTTGGTCCAAACACCACTTTCCATCGTTATCTCCTACTAGTCCTCTCTTTCCACATGCTCTAGCCATTCCCTAAATATGCCACCTGCTTCCTCCCTTAGTGTCCCTACCCCCACTCCCATCACTTTGCCCATGCTGTTCCTACCACCTGGAATACCCATTACCCTTCCAAGGTCTACTCATTACGACTGAACTCAAATGAAACCTTCTCCACGAATCCTCCCCTGAAACCTAAAAGGACCACTCTCTCTTCTAAACTCCCTAGTACTTTACCTACCTATTACTGTATGTTCATATTCAACTTCAGATCATAATTATTGACATACACGTATTTCTAATTTTTGTTATTGTTCAGTCACTTCAGTCATGTCTGACTCTTTGAGATTCCATTTGGGGTTTTCTTGGCAAAGATACCGGAGCATTTTGTCATTTCTTTCTCCAAGCTCACTTTTTTTTTTTAACAGATGAGGAAACTAAGGCCCGAAAAAGGTTAGGTGACTTGCCCAGGGTCATACAGCTAGTAAGTGTCTGAGGGCAGATTTGAACTCAGGTCTTCTTGACTCCAGGCCTGGCACTCTATCCACCATGCCACCTAACTGCCCCCAGAAGGGAGTAACCAGAAGCAATGAAAAACCAAAGTTCAGGAGCACCATTTAGTATGATGTACTGGTGATAATGATTTGGGTAGAAAGTATATAAAGGACTTTCTATTCCCAAGCTCTTGATGGAAAAAAAATCAGTCCTTCCATTCCTGGTATCTACAATTATTAGTGATGTCTCAACCAATCCTGCCCGTCTACGAAGCTGTGGTACTTAAGAAAACCCACCCTGGTCAGCTTTGCCCTTTCATCCTGGACCTCTGGGTTTAGCTACAACCTGACCTGAGTGTCTGACCAAACAATGACCTGATTCTACCTTTTGTTCCTACATACATTCCAAACGCCTTGTGGGTTTCACTATCAGTTATAACTCTGATCCTTCTCAAATGGAGAACAATTTCTACATCAACAACATTACACAGACAAATGACTTTGAAAGATTTAAGAATGATGATCAATGTAATGACCAACCGTGACTCCGGAGGACCATGATAAAACACATCATTCAACTCCTGACCAAGAGGTAATGGATTGAAACACATACTTTTTGGGCATGGCCAACATGAGAATGTTTTGTTTGACTTTGCATATTTGTTACAAGGTTTTGTTTTACTTCCCCCACAATTTGGGGTGTGGGGATATGGGAAAGGGAGAAAACAGATTTTTTTTTATTCATTGAAAAATATAAAATTAAATTGGAACTTTTTTTGTTGACTCTTTAATCTTGCTCAGAACTCACCTGGCATGGAAAAGGGGGAGAGGAAATCTGTTTCTGCTGACTCAGGCTCTGGCTGTTCCTGTTGCTGCTGCTGCTGCTGCTGAGGTTGGGGCTCCTCCTGGTTCTCCACTGGCACGTTCACATTCTCAGTGTTCTCGTGGGTCCCGTTCTGCAGTGGCTTACTGACACCGTTGGCAGAGTTAATCAATCTCTGTCGCTGCACAGTGAGGGGGATAAGGGAAACCAAAACTTAGCCTAGGATGAAAGACAACAGCATAAGCACCCTACTTCCCTATTTTCTTTTTCTTCTTTGAGACATAGAACAGCTCGCAGATACCTGAAGCTGTTGTTGGCTTGGAAGAATCCATACAAAATACCTAACCATCTAGCTTCATGACAACTTGGTTGGGTTGGTTAATTTCCATCTTGAAAAATTCCATGCGACAATTTTGATCTGCTCTGGGATTGGCTATAATAAATAATATATAAATTGGCTAGTTTACTCCTCCAGAAGATGAAGGGAGTTAACTGAGACTTCAGGAATTCTTAACATTTTTTAGGAGTATATGTGTGTCTTGGACCCCTTGGGCAGTCTGGTGAAGCTTTTGGACCTCTCATCAGAATAATGTTTTTAAATGCATAAAACAAAATACAAAGGATTACAAAAGAAACCAACTGTATTGAAGCACTATTTCTCTTTCCTCTTTTTTCCCCTATTTTCTCTTTTCCTCCTCCTTCCCTCCCTCTCTCCTTTCTCTTCCTCCCTTTCTCCCTTTTTTCTTCTTTCTGTTTCTTTCTCAACAAGTTTACGGATTCCAGATTAAGAATAAGAATAAGAATCCTTGATCTCTAAGATCACAGAATTTTAGGATTAAGAGTTGGAATTCCGAGACCTCAGAGGTTAGCTTGTTTAGCTCCCCCATTTTACAGATGAAGCCTCGAGAAGATAAATGATTAGCCCAAGGTCACAGTAAGCAATAGTGATTGTATTGCTGAATTCCCCAAATTGGTCTTCTCAATATGTTGGAGGCCTTTGCTGATTTCTCTTTAAGTAGTGAGGATATCAGTGGAATGCCCAGGCTATTTATTCCTCACTCCTAACAAGAGACCAGCCCATCTTCTTCAGATGTCGTGGGTTTAACTACCAGCTCCACTGGAAGGGCTCCTCAAACTATATGTCTATAATTTCAGCCCTAATCTCTCCCTGAACATTAGGTGCAAATCAACAGTTGCCTATTGGACATTTTAATGTAGACATTCTGAAGACTTAGTATGTCTAAAATTGAACTTGTTATCTCCTCAATCTTTCAAAATTCCTCATTTCTTTTGAAGGTGCCACCGTCTGTCTAGCTTCCCAGATTCATAATCTCAGAATTATCCTGGACTCTGTCATTTCCCTCACCCCACATGTCTAGTCAGTCGCCAGATCTTGCCGTTTCTGTCTTCTGTAACATTTCTCATAACCTATTGATCTCTTCTCTCTGCTCATACTACCTTAGTCCAGGCCCTAATCACCTCTTGACTAAATTATTGCCACAGCTTCCTAACTGGTCTTCCGGCCTTAAGTCTCTCACTACTCCACTCCATCCTACCCATTGCTGCCAAAATAGTTTTCTTCAAACACAGATCTGACCACCTCTAATGGTTTTCTATTGCCTTCAGGATAAAATATAAACTCTGTTTGGCTTTTAAAGCCCAACATAAACCGGCTCCAACCTTTCTTTTCAGCCCCAGTAGACATTACTTCCCCTCTCTTACTCTGCAATCCAGCTAAACTTCTTGCTCCCTCTTCCTCAGTGCCTTTGTTCTGGCTGTTCCCCATGCCTGGAGCACATTCCCTCATCACTTCCCCCTTACAGAACCCTTAATTTCCTTTAAGATGCTGCTTTAAGCACCATTTTCTACACGAAGGCTTCCCTGGTCCCTCTAACTGCTCGTGCTTTCTCTCCCAAAATACTTTGTATTTAACTATGGTATTTTGCATATATTTGTATTTATTAACTATATTTGTACCACAGATTTTAACCCATACTTACTCTCTCCTCCATTAGAATGCAAGCTCTCTGTAAGTAGAGATCGCCTCATTCTTTGTTCTTATACCCTGATTGTCTAGTACAGTGCCTGGCACATACCAGATACTCTATATAAATACTTGTTTGATGATTCTTTCTTGCTTATCTACTTCTTAGATAGTGGCTAATACTTGCATAGCATCTACTATGTGCCAGACATTGTTCTAGGCCAGGGGTGGGGCACCTGCGGCCTCGAGGCCACATGTGCCCCTCTAGGTCCTCAAGTGCGGCCCTTTGAGTGGATCCCAACTTCACAGAACAAAGTTTGAAAAAGTTTGTCTGAAAAAAAAAAGAAAAATTTGTTGCCCCAATGGAATGATTGTCATCATTCAGGTTCTCCTTTGTAATTCCTGTTCATATGTTGCAGCTTACTAATGCCCACTACTACCTGTCTATTTCCCTCTCTGGGATAACTGAAAATGAGGGATAGATAGTATAAGTATAATTTTTCTCATGTTACAGATGAAGATGCTGATGCACAGAGAGATAAAGTGACTTCCAATGGTCACAAAGCTCTAGTGTCCAAGTCAAGATCTGAACTCAGGTCTCATGATTTCAAGTTCAGTGCTTTTTCCACCATGCCATGAATGTGGCCCAACTGAAGATTAGTACCCAATACAAGAATGAGACAGTCCCAGCCTTCAATAAACATATTCTACAAGAAGGACACGTGTGTGTATGTCTATATACACACATATCCATATATGTATATGTATACACATGTGCTATATATACATGTCTGTATATACACACATACATATAAAGATATATTTTAATTGATTGATAGTAATGCTTTTATATATATATACACACACACACACACACACACATATATAGATAAAATGTTCACAGATAGGTAAATACATAATATATACAAAACAAATATATAGTAATTTGGTGGGCAACATTAATAACTGGGGAAGTCAGGAAAGGTCTCTTGAAAAAAATGGCACTTGAGCTAAGCTTAGAAGGGAGAGAGGGGTCCCAGCAGGCATAAGTGAGGAGTGAGGGCATTCAGGCACAAGTAACATTCTGTGCAATGGCATGGCAGGCGAGAAGAAATACCATGAATAGGAAACAGCAAGCAGGCCAGCTTGGCTAAAATGTAAAGTCAGTGATGAACAGTAATATATAATTAGCCAGGAAACAGACTGGAGAGAGTGAGAAAGCCTTTACGTGCCAGACTTTTGCATGTAGCAGGCATTTTGTCCTAAAGGCAAAGGGGAGCTATGGAAGGTTCTTGAGCACAGCAGTGACACAATCAGATTCGTGCTTTAGGACACCAATTTGACATCTATGTGTACAACGGATTGTAGAGGGGAGAGATTTGAGGCAGGGAGGCCAATCAAGAGGCAAATGCAAATAGTGTGGGCAAGAGGTGATGAGGTCCTGAACTAGAGTGGAGGTCTTTGTGGAAGCCCAAAGGGTGTTGCATCTCCTTTTCTTAACGAGAGATTTCACTTCAAGAACTCATCGCCATTTCAGACAAAACAAAGTTACACATGTATTTGTTGGAATTTGAGCTCACCTCAACTCACATTCTGTTCCTGATCCCCAGGTCAACTAGAGAGAGAAACAAATTGCCTTTTCTAGGGTAGAAAAACCTGTCCTGTGTTCGGTTTCGGGGGATTCCTCCCTCTGCATCCTCCTGCCGCTCTGTGTCTCTAAATAAAGTTTCTTCTGAGCTAGACCCTAAACTGAGGGCTAGAACTGCTGCCATGACAGATTCTGGTACCTTGGCAAGGAAACCAGCGCATGAACCAAGCGAGCAGATGTTTCAGGCTGCCTTTATCCTTTCAGCTGGGGTACCACAGCCAAGATAAGGAGCTTCCTTTAAAATCTCTGGTAGAGGTACTAGAGTGGGGCTGCCTATGGGCTCCAACGTGTCTGGATTCCCTCTCATTTTATAATTCAAAAGAACTTTTCTATGCCTGTCTCTTTCTGTGCCAGCTAATTTCCTGAGTGAAATCCCATAGAGAGAAACTGTTTAGCTCCCCTTAACCAACATAGTACATTAGACCTTGGTTTAGTAAGTGGAAATTGTTGTAGGAAGGACATCTGGATTGCCTATCTAGCTGATTATGTGTTTAAGGGAATCTGGGAAGGGGCTTGGTGTCTCCATCAGCCACCAGGTGCCTCTTACAAAATCTATCACATTCAGAATTTGAAGGCTCAGGTAGTATGTATTTACAGATCAGCATGATTGTCTCTGTTATCTGTCACCTCTCTCTCTGTGCAGACCTATGATTACAGGCTGCCTGTTTAATAACTCTGACCCCCACCTTGGCAGAACCTTACCATGAGCACAGTGTAACTTCAGTGGCCACCCCTGCCTGGGGCAAACCCCTCTTTGTTGACATGGTCTGCAGGTTGAAAAGTGACAAGTGGGCACTCAGAGTAAGCTTTTTCCTTGTGCTTGTGATGGGGACAGGTCATCCCAAGCAAGTTCCAGTTCTCTCCAAGGGATCTCCAGCCCCACTGTATGTATGGTTATCATTCTTCCAAGATCTGCAATTTCTGGACATGTGGAATTGCCATTTTAAGAACCCATTACGCTATTCCCTGTGGAATGACCATCTGATGTTGACAAAACAGCATATTTATGGGAGCTCTCCAGCCTTTTGTGTCAAAAGTGGAACATGCCTAAAGGGATGCCTTTTTTGATTAGTATTCAAAAGCTTCTAAACATAAAAATCAGGTCATGGATAAAAGCTACCAAAATTCACATGAAAAACTAAAATCATAATTGAAAGGTATAAGGGAGAAACTGACTGCTTCCCAAACTAAGTGCAGACCTTCTTTTCTAATCCGGTAGAAGGAGTTAAACCCACTGATTAGTCAGATGTCTTAGACTCAGCAATCCAGACAATGCCTTCTGGGAGAAATGATTATTAAATAACAAATTAATAAGGAGATCACAGACTTCTTCCAAAAATCTACCTCAACCAGACTATCTCATCTAGGTGATGTTACCCCACCCAACTAGAGAATCTTGAAAAGAATTTAATCTGAATTTAATGTCTTTCTTTCTCTTTCCACTCCCTCTGTTCACATAGGGTATCATGCCCTTACCTTCAGAGTGCTCTGCCCAAAGGATGTAAATTTTGATTACTGAAACCTTCTTTTCTTAAGGATCATGCCTCAA